AAGGCATGGATTTTCTTTGAGAACTTCCAAGTCGACTAGCCTAATGAGATCTGTTGGGTTCAACCGTCCTCAGGTCCAGTTATTTCACTCAAATCTTGAAAATCTTATGGTTAAGTACTAATTTGAACCGTCCAGAATCTACAATTGCGACGAAACTGGCGTCAATTGTGTGCCGAAGCATGAGAAGTAGGGTGTCCCAAAATTGCACTATGTCTAGAAATCTGGGGGCTCACCCTCGAAATGATAGCTAAGGGTGTTACAAACAAACTTCTGTATGGCGGCAACTCTGGGAAATGTTGCTTATAGGTCGCCCCGACGATATTTTTGAAAAAAGTCCGGAGCCAGCAGGTGACAAACAAAGTTCCGGTTGAGTTTCCGAAAACCTTCTCAAGCAGTGTACCATTGATATACAAGCAGCTTCGGTAGCCACAACTTGAATGCTTTGTCCGATTGAAAGTTGTTGGGTTTCATGCTTGAATCGAAAGTACCTGATGATGTCCAACTCCGACGACAAACGGTTTCTGGGCAAATGCTTCCTCGCAATATCGGTGATGAGATCCGACTTGAGCTTGGTTTTTGGTGACATGATTTTCTTTTTTGGTTCAGCTTGCTACGGCAATCAAATGGAAACTAATAAATTGTGTAATCCCCTCCGCTCATATATCCTCCTATTGAATTCAAAAAACTTCGAAACAAATGTTATCAAGTGATTTACAACAAAGTAGGTGATTTGTATTTATCTATTTCAATGATAGTTTGATTTGCTGGTGGACATACTACAAGTATTGAAATTCTGAACTTTTATTTCCACAGTAAATCCCGAATAACTTTTTAACGGTTAAAAATGAGGTTAAAAAGTTTCCGGCAAAGTTTTTGCTTATAAATTTTCCCATATTTCTGCTGCACTTGTGATGATGTACAACAAAAAACATCATTTTAGCGAATTTGAAAAATTATAACTAACAAATTGGACACAGAACATGCCGTAGCATTTTTTTTCTTATTGTGTTGACCCTTGGTAATCTGCGAAAAATATAAAAGGCTGAGATTTCACTGAAATTTAAAGAACTAAAAATATATTTATTGGATAATAGCTATGAAAAATGTACTTTTTTCAAAAATATTGTCGGGGCGACCTCTAAACAACATTTCCCAGAGTTGCCGGCATACAGAAGTTTGTTTGTAACACCCTTAGCTAACATTTGGAGGGTGAGCCCCCAGATATCCAGAACTAGTGCAATTTTGGGAAGGTTTTAGCTCCCAAAGCCGTTCGTCAAGTTCGTAAACAGGCATCTGCGGAACGTGGAAGAAATATCACTACCTTGTTTTGTATGTGTGCAATCGGACAGTACATAACGCCTTTGTTTGTCTTTCCAAGGCATAATATCTAGACCAACAATTAAAATAGGCGGATCAACCAAACGTAAACAAAGGCTTTAAACACACAATTCTCGAGAATCAAAACACTCCCAGGCAAACTAACAATGCCATTCGAAAATGGAAGTTTGCTCTATCAAATGGTGGTGTTAGATTGCTTGGATGTGCTTTGATTCTCGAGGAATTTGCGTTTAAAGCCATTGTTTACGTTTGGTTGTTCCGCCTATTTCAATTGTTGGTCTAGATATGCATGCTAGGCTTATGATTAACGCCCCCGAAAGGAGTTGCTCAGCCATAAGGTTGGATGAATGGTGATTTGTTTTTACAATGGCTTGAACATTTCGTAAATTTTTCGCATCCTTCAAAACAATCACCTGTTCTTCTAATACTTGATGGTCACAGCTACCATAATGTTCTAAGTCTTCCGCCACACACAAGTCACAAGCTGCAACCACTCGACCGGACTTTCATGAAACCGTTCAAGAATGCTTACCATGAATGCTGTGAAGTGTGGATGCGGAAAAATGCAGGAGCACGGATTACAGACTACGATATTGCTGGCCTCGTAGGTGAGGCATACGTGAAGATAGCACGAACAGATCTTGCAGTTTCGGGTTTCCAGTGTACGGGAATTCATCCGTTCAATAAACACATTTTCTCTGACATCGACTTCCTACCATGTGATTTTACAAACATTCCGTTGGAAGAGTCTGCAACTGGTTCAAAAGAAATCTTCGTAAAAGATACTGCTATCAATCCATCAACCTGTTCTGCTACTTTGACTATATGTTTAATATTACTTCTGCGTGAAGCCAACGATTTACATAGTTGAAGATGCTAATTTCAAATAAGAGACTAAAGTGGTAATTTTTATACGATAGATGGAGGAGATGAAAGTCTAGAGTTGATAGTTCCGTTAGAGTACGGCAGTGTGAAAATTGCATATAGAAAGTATATAGCGAGCTAGGACAACTTTTAAGGAAGGTACAAATCGGTTTTTTCATCTCTCTTTACCAAACTCCCCCTTTGACCCCCCCCCCCACCACTGACAAAAAGAGATGAAAACAATAGTTGCAATTTCCAAACCTACGACTGGATGCCTTCCTTCAAATAACAACTGAAGTGCGGTAAAAAATCGGTAGAACTGTTTCAAACACATCGTTGGTACTTGAGCGGTCGGTTTTCATCTCTTTTTGCCAGTGGTGGCGGGGGGGGGGGGGCACCCCTCACCATCCCTCTCCAAAGGGGGAGTTTGGTAAAGAGAGATGAAAAAACCGATTTGTACCTTCCTTAAAAGTTGTCCTAGTTCGCTATCTACTTTCTATATGCAATTTTCACACTGCCGTACTCTAACGGAACTATCAACTCTAGACTTTCATCTGGCCTCCATCTATCGTATAAAAATTACCACTTTAGTCTGTTATTTGAAATTAGCATCTTCAACTATGACTGTTCTGCTATTTGTGCTACCGCAAGCATTCAAAAACTGTCACCACTACCTGATGCCGTCCAGAAGCGTTCGGAATCTAGGAAGCGGAAGTCAGAAAAAAGCACAGTTTTGACATCACTTTCCAACAGAACGCTGGTAGAGGAAAAGGAAAAAGAAAAGAGAATTAAGGAGTCCATGCAAGATCTTCGTAAAAAGCGGAATCAAACCAAAAGATTATGCGAGAGCAACAAAGAAAACCACTTGGCAAAAAAACCTAGCCTGCCTAGTCTGCCAGAAATCGGATAAGGAAGGCTTCATAAGGTGCTCAACGTGCAAAGACTGGACCCACAAGACTTGAGCAGGAATATTAGAGCGTCCCTTGACCTTTTTGTGCCAATGGTGTAAGCTTTAACAAAGCATACCTTCGTGTCCGAGCATAGAGGACACTGTGTCCGGCAATAGGGAACACTTTTCGTATGATTTGAATTCCACAAAAATTGTAACCCATCATTAATTTCAAATTGCAAAGGGTTTATTTTTTCGCTTGTTTTTTTTACTTACGATATTGTTTCTCTTTAAATAAATGGGAAAGTAAACACCTGAAATCCAGTACTTTTTAGTTATTGCTGAAAAACAAAAAGTGTCCGAGCATAGAGGACTTCCCCCTACTTTATTTGAGTGGTGATTTTTTTTTTTATTAAGGGTGATATACAGTCAGATAAAAATTGGCTCACACTAGACTAGCCTATCAGTCCCAAGTACATCGATGAGCTAACCCCATTCTAGTCGAAATTCTAGTACTACACTATATTTGTTTTGATTTTGGGACCGAAGAGAGTACCAGAGCTGATTCAAAAGGTTGAGCACGTTTCTTCGGAATCTTCTGGTCTTAGAGCTACCTATATGGTAGTACCCCTTTGAAACCCGTTTTTAACCATAACTTTTTTGTTTGAATTTCCCAATTTTTTAATGTTCTACGAAGTTGTAAGTGCTCTAAAAATGCACATTTTTTTTCTAGGGGAAGCACATCACTATCTCTTCGGTTTAAGGTTCAATTTACTTTGATGCATTTTTTAAAAATTCAAAAGCAGTTTTTGCACGCGTCATTTTGTGTAAAATATCAAAAGAAATCGAATAGTGCGAGCTTTTTGAAATCTGAAATAATGCGTCGGAAAAAACTGCTTTTGAAATTTTCCAAAAAGCATCAAAGTAAATTGAACCTTAAATGATTTACATCCTTTTTAATAATGTTTTAACGCTATCTTTAAGGGGGTGCATCTTGCAGGTTAGCAGGTGTTAGCATCTAAACTCAACTTAATTTCGTTCAGCAAATTATACTTTACAGTTACATATACAATTTAAAAGGGAATCCAAGAGGATGTCTAATGAATTTGATGAAGCAACGCAGTTTCCCTTACCTTAGAACAAAAAACAAGTTTGGAAACCACTCTACGAAAATTCTGCTACAGTGGCGAGGTGTTCCTCTTTTTGGAACAAACCAACAAACGCTCACAATATAAACGCATACACGAAAAATACAGCACTCTAATAATGTATGAAGCCAACTCATAGTCACCGTCATCGTCATCGTCTCCGCCGGTTGGAACGAGTGAAAATCCATATTGCGGTGGCTGGTAATTCGATACTTTTATTTACATTTTATTTATCTCCCTTTCCAATGAGTTTTGTTGTTCCCTCTCCGTCTTGGTTGCTTCTGTCTTGATACCAACTGCTGCAGGCCCCACCAAAGACGAGGTTGAGTCGGCTCCGAGGAAAGGGAGGGAATCAAACCAGAATAAAAAAAAAAGACTGACTGACACATTTGCTTCTCGCATTCAAACAATAGACTTTCTTTTATGGACGTCTTTGGTAGCTCGTACAAAGCCAGCCCAGCCAGGAGGTTAAAGGCAAGATATCTTCCCGATTAGATTTGTATCATGCCGTAAATTTGGCAGTTAATGAGAATGGACTGACAAACGACGACATCTCGGAAACAATAAGCTCAATTAGTGACAATTTCTCAGTGTGCAGCCAATTTAGAGCTGTCAAGCACTGTGGCATGGAATTTGCAACATTTTCATTTTTGATTGTACGGTTTCGAACAAATTGGATCAATGGGTTTAACAAGAATCAGCTGAAGATTTTTTGTAGGGGTGCATTATGGACTATTCGAAATTAACGGTTTGATACTTACTCTTTGTGCTCTGCTGCTCGGTCCCGTTGCCGTCGGTTTTTGAACCAATTTGAAACCTAGAATAAAGGGATCTATTAAATTTACCATTGCCTTTTTTTGTCAGAGCTACTATAACTAAGCGAATCAAAAACGAAACAACAAGTGCAACTCTCCGCTCTGTTGCATAATAATTCAGGTAATATGTAGAAGCTAAGAGCTGGAAAAAGCATAAAACATAGGTCGCAGAGGAAAAACTCAGATAAATCTCATTAAAATGATCCTTTTTCCCTTGATGAATCAATCCTCGCGCTTCACTGAAGTCAACGGAAGAGCTGAGCCTAGATTGAATCAACAAAACCCAAAAAATAAAAAGTATCCAATTTCAATCCACCTAGTTGAGATGAGCTTCCTCAGGCGGAAAAGAGCAGCACACACAACGAACGAACCTAAAACTGGTCCGGACCAAAGCGCCGCCCTCGTCCAGACAAAGCATCCACACACAAAAAAAAAACGTTCCGTGATCGTTTCGCTCGTTCGATGATAACAACTCACTCAAAATCCACCCAACTTACTAGACCTTACCTGGGTGGTGGTTAATCCGGTTGCTTCGGCCAGTTCCCGTTTCTCCCTCGGCGAGGGATAAGGATTATGCGTGTACCAATCTCGCAGTACCGATCTTGATTTTTCCTAGAAGATGCACGCGTAAACACAGAAACAGAGCAAACGCATTAATGCCAAGATGGGAAGTCGAAAATTTGCCGCTTCAGTTGATTTCTGAGCAGCGTTCTTTGTTTTTGCTTTGTTAACATTTTGTAGAATGATTGAGATTCAATTTTTCTAACAAGATGCTAGTTTTGGCATCACATTGAGTTGGAAGCACCTGACTCACTTTGAAGCAGTAGCTGGTTTCCTCTCCGTCCCATATCGTCCGGGGTAGGGGGAATTTGCGACGAACGCGGTATTTACCGACTGCTCCGAGCGGTCGCCCCCGTAGTTTCTCCGCTTCAACGTAGTGAGCTGGAATGAGGGAGGGTGATCGTAATTAGTACACTGTTAATCTTGATTAATTGGTATCATTCCAAATTATTAAATTAAAGAATCAAAGTATGCCATGAATTCAATAAACTTGCGAGAATATATCACTACGTTCAGACCGGATAACATTTTTTTGCATTGAAAAGTGAAAGGAAACATAGAAGAAGCCGACACCTATGCCCCTTGTACAGAACATCCTACCTACTACGAACGGACAGACATGACGTTGGTCGCGGAACTCTCGCTGTCGCGCGTCTGTCACCTTCTTTAAATTCCATGTGCGATGACTGATGATATCAGTTCGATTCGATCTCTCCAAAAGAATTAAACAGCAAACGAAAACCACCAGAATCGACAATCGACCAAAACTCAGCGGGGTACAAAATGCTTATGAGTTTGTAGCTGGAATGGAACTTGGAACACTGGCATTTTGCTACGAAAACGAAGCTTGGTGCTCGCGAAACACGTTCTTATCCATTTGACGCAGTCAATGACATGTTTAAAATAAAAACAAAAAGGTAAAAGAAGTAACATTCCGTATGGAAATTTGTCGTCATAGTCATTTCAAGTTGGATAATATTTTAAAATATTTGCGGAACGACGGGGTAAGACGGCCCTAAGCATAAACTAACATTTTTCTTGCAGGGGCGTATAGTTGTAGGGGCGAGGGGCGGACTGACTAACACTCTAGAAAGCTCTATGTGCGGCATATCAAGTTTCCTGAGCACCTCCAGTGGTTCACAGCCCAAGTAACATGTCAAGTTTTATCGAGGTTTTAAAGCATTCTACAAGTCTAAATTACGGTCTACAGAACCCTGATAAAACCTAAATTGTTATTTGGGAGAGCCACCGTAAAAGACTTCCATCCTAAGCGGCTACTTGCTTGCTGGATCTTGGTGAAATTCCTGCCAACATATTTTTGTTGAGGTTCCAGCGCTACTCAAACAAATTTCTTGTCACTAGTCTCGAAAAATAATTAAATTTCTCAAACCTAAAAAAATCACCAGAATCTTGATAGTTTTCATAAATCCTAAAATATTTAAGATTATGTTAAAGGGTGGACAACTCGAAAGAACTGATCATGTTCAAAGGAAGGAAGCATTCCTATAAATCAAAAATATTGATTATTGAAAAATTTCTGAAATCAGTACAACTCGAAAGAACTGATCTTGTTCAAAAAAAGGAAGCATTACATTTGAAAAAAAAATCGAACCTTTCTAAACTTTTTCGAGACTGATTTCAAAATTTACTGAGCTTTGAGAAAAGTTCAAACCCGTAGAAAATTGCTTGCTTCCATTCGGCGAAATGACCTTCGGCGAAATGTCTCACTCCCCCCTAAAATGGTCGCATCAGATCGATTCGTCATTTGGCGTGGAACTGCTCAATAACACTCGAAGAGAAATCGTCCGGGGAATCGATTGCACGTGGTCTCATAGACCGGAAAGCCTTGTAGGTATGTGTTTTGGGCCATTTTACCCCATTTTCCCCTACTTTTTGGAGGAAATGTTTTTCACAGCTCTATTTTTCGTAAAACATAAGCACTTTATGCATGGTTTTAGAATACCATGTCTTTAAACAACAATTCATGAGATATTAGGGGAATACGGGGTACACTTTATAGGGGAGTAAGGGGTAAAAGTGAACCCTCGCTAAATTTATTTTAATTCATAAAAATGTTGAACGATGCGATTGTTTGAATGACCTCAAAGGTTGCCTGCAATAATAAGATTTTTTTTTCGAAATTTTAAAGTTAATTGGGGTTAAATAAGTTTTAATTTACTGCTATCTGTTTTAAAAGAGTTTTCACTTTTTTGTCTGTGTACAGCAAAACGATATAGTGGTTCTCAGAATTTTGTAAAAATTGGTAGTTTTGTTCCTTATCGCAACATATTAGACACATTTTTTTTTTTATTTTGTCATTAGGGTGACTATTTATATATTAGGGCGGTAAAAAAATATTTTTTTTTTCGATTTTTTTCAAAAATTTATAACTTTTGAACTGTTTGGCCGATGACGAAACTCAAAATACCAAATAAAAGTTAATTAAAAGAATTTTTCAGAAAAAAATAATATGATATTAAAAAAATGGATTTTGTATTAAAAAACATTGATTGTAATTTCACTTTTACCCCTTACTCCCCTATAAAGTGTACCCCGTATTACCTTAATATCTCATGAACTGTTGTTTGAAGACATAGTATTCTAAAACCATGCATAAAGTGCTTATGTTTTACGAAAAATAGAGCTGTAAAAAAACATTTCCTCCAAAAAGTAGGGGAAAATGGGGTAAAATGGTCCAAAACACATACCTACAAGGCTCTCCGGTCCATGGAATCACGTGCAATCGATTTCCCGGACGATTTCACTTCGGAAAAGTAGTTTTTCATGGCCGGAATTCAGCGTGCTGTTGAGATATTGAATTTTGGGTAATTTTGGACCCATTTTTGCCCATAGTGCAATGGTTTTTGGCTTCAGCAACCCTCCTTCTTGGCAGAGGATTGATTTTTCTAGATACTGATTTTAAATACAGTAGAAGAAACCTATGATTTCGGTCGTATTTAGATATTTTGGATTTCCTATACATATGCAATTCCTTTTGGATCCTAAATTACAATCAGATATGAAGCAAATGAAGGTAGGGCTTTCTTCAGGAGATTCCTTGAAGCGTCCAACAATGGCCGTCATGATGGCTGATGTTCCCTATCACTTCAAGATTCCTAGAGTACAAATCTTACACACTGTTGTGACCACTCATGAAATTGGAATTCCCTAAGTATGTACTGCACTACAGCAAACGTGAAGTTCCAGTTTCATTATTATAAGTTTTGTGAGAGCTGATATTTGTGCTCTTGAAATTTTTATGTGGAAATGAGATTGGCTTCGACAGCGATTTTCCTTCAGAACGCTAAAAAAAATCATTCACTCATCCATTTTCTATCAGATGCCACTGCTGTTGTTTGCGGTGACATATATCGGAAGCTACGCATAATCTGTTTCCCGTTAATTGTTCATAGAGGGCAGTGCAATGCAAAACATGTCTGGTATCTCTTAATTTGCATTTAGATTAACGTCCGAAGTCCCTCCTTTTTTACATATTTTGCTCAAAAAATACTTTATAAGCCCCGCCCCTGAAAGGATTTCCGACCGTTTTTATGAATGGGGCGGAGCAGAAAGTATCTATAGTGCAAAATATGTATATGGATGGTAGTCTAAATGCATATATAGAGGTCCCCGACATGTTTAGTAGTGTGAAGTACTCTATTTTGTAATCTGTGAGAGGGAAATCACAAATCGAGTGTCATCAAAATACATGCCATGATGAGGGATTGAGCTCGAGATAGAATTTTCGAGAAAAAAAACCATTTCCATTTAATTTTAGCTTGTTGCACTAATTTCCTGGAAAAAAGTGTTCGGCAAGTTCACGAATGATTTCTTTAGGTTGTTTATCATGGCCCCCCCCCCCCGGCTTGTTAAATGGTCTAAAAAATGCTACGCTATTTATGGATGGTCCCTTATTTTACTTCCAAGCCTGTGTCTTAATTGGTTAGTTAAATTTAACTCGTGGTTAAAAGTGACAGCTGGAAATTTATCGAATAGCCCTGCTATCCAAGCGTGGTTATTTCTGACCGACTAGAAGTTAAATTTTGGCAACCGTGACTGAATTCTGTTTGAAAACCGATCAATCGAAATCACCGGGTTTTTCGAACATTGAAAATAAATTTCGAAATGTCACTTTTAACCAGGCGAGGTTGATCCACTTCGGAGTGCTTGCGCCATCGAGGCGACAGGGCTCGCTGCCAGCAGCCAGTGATCTCATCGTTCCCGTCGCGGAAGGTTCAGGGTTCAAACTGGTGAACTCTGCGGTTGACAGGAACCGCTGCCTTCCTACTGCTGATGCTGCAGCTGCTGCTACTGCTACCTTCTCCCACGCCGTCCGAAGCGAAAATGAGTAGAGCCAGTAGTAGTAGTAAAATTATGTTTATTTCTGTTGATTATGGTAGTATGTACATTGATTTATCATATTAATTGATTAGCCTATCTGGCTCTTCATCTTTGTTTAATTTGATATTCTAATTTAATATTTGCGTTTTTCAACTAGTTTACAGAATACCCCTTTGGGGATTTGTTTTATTTGAATTGAAAAAAGTGATAGCCTACCTAACTACGAGTATAACTTAACCTAACGTGCTAGATCACGTATGATCTGATGATTTGATCTCAGACAGGTGTCTCTGAACCTTTCCAGCCAGGAGGTGTATCTCAGAATTTCTAGTCCGCGGGGGACTGTTTAGGACCATCCTAAGGATCTTGTTTTGGATCCTTTGGAGTTTAAGGTGATGGCATTTTCCGCAACTCTCCCAGATTGGCATACCGTACTCGATTACAGGAAGGATGATTTGTTTGTAGACAGCAAGCTTATTTTTCAGGGACAGGGTTGACTTCCGGTTGATAAGTGGATACAACGATCTTATCAAGATGTTGCACTTGGTTTTCGTTTTGTCAACGTGCTCCCTGAAAAGAAGCTTGCTGTCTAGTGTTAGCCCGAGGTAAACGACCTCTTTGGACCATTCCACCACTGTGCCGTTCAGGCAGATCTTGTTATTCTCCAACGGAACAAGTCTGGGAGAATTAGAGTGTGGAAAGATAATGACCTGGGTCTTTGCCGCGTTGATACGGATCTTCCAGCTGTTTAAGTATTCAGACAGGACGTCTAGGCCTCTCTGAAGTTTGGCAGTCAGAGCTCCGATGACCCTACCCTTGTAGACGATGGATGTGTCATCTGCGAACAGAGACAACGATCCACCATCAGGGAGAGCCGGCATATCGGAGGTGAACAGGTTGAATAGGATGGGGCCAAGGATGCTTCCTTGTGGAACCCCGGCACCGATGTTGAAAGCATCCGATGTGATGCCATTCAGACAGACTCGGAACGTCCTGTCTGATAGATAGTTGATTATTATCTTCACTAGGAAGACATTGAC